ATATATATATATATATATATATATATATATATCATGAAATAAGAACATGTAATGATTGCTGCAAGGAAAATATAAAACCTCCATATACACCTAAACCCTATTTGAGCCACCGTGTTTGTATATCAACTATTTATCATTGTTATCAATAAAAAGATAAGGCCCATCTGACTACCTGATCTTAGATGCTCCTATCCTAAGTTATTAGAATGCTTCTGAACCCTTTGTTTCATTAATTAGCATTTGTTGGCAGCCTCTTCAGTCGAATTAGAGACTCCTGGGACCCCCTGTCAGAAAGCCCACAGCTCCACCCTCCAAGTATATATCAGAACAGGAGGATCTGAGATGGTAACTGTACTTTTAAGGAAATCAATATTTTAAAGTATCTATGTGAAACTGAATTTAAAGCTTGAGCTGCCATGTTAAAATAAGTTCAGAAAGGAGAATTCAGCCCCTTTCGGAAACACAAAAAGGGCTAAAGTAAAGGTTATTTTTTTTTCCCCTGGGAGTCTTCTGAGAAAAGAATTTATGGAATGTCAGAGACATTAATTAGAAAGGAAGAATAAGTAAAGAAAGAGTGCGTTGTGCTTGTTAAAAGTGCAGTCACCTCAATACTAAGTTTGCGGATAAGGTTATGAGCTGCGACAAAGCCCCCGGGTCCCCGCTAGCCCCGGTGTTCCTTTAGGACAGGGTCCACAGCTCATTCATCTTCACTGTGCCAAGGTCTGGCATGTAATAAGTATTTTCTGAACTGAATGTCTATTCTGGCAACAGAGGGAAAAGAAAGGCTGAGTCAAGGACCCTATGAAAGGTATGGAAAGAAAGAAGCATCCTAGGTTACTTAGGATCCACTTAATATGTTCCTTTAGATTATAAGCAGAGGTATTTCTAATCCCCTGAAGAGCTGCAGATATTTAGTAAGGGTAACTAGACCAGTACTAGCAGCACTTTTAGTTACTTAGAATCTCTATAGGTAATATTAAAGATAGCCAAGAGGTAATTAGAAGAGTAGAAGTTACTGGAAAGTACTCGTTTATACGACTGTATTAGAATATCCTCATTTTGCTAGAGCTAAAGCTGGTCGTCCACACACTCTTATAGAAGAGCATAGTTAACTGTTCTTTACTAAATAGTATTAACAAGGAAGTACGTGTTTATAGACATAGCAACACTGAATGAACTGTAAACTTAATCCCTCCTAATCTCACCCAGCTGCACTGGAGCCTTAGCTCTGTAACCCAAGGTACCCCCTGGAGTTGGCTCCTGCCAGCATGGTGCCCTAGGAGGAAACAGCCAGCTCCTGGCAGCTCTTTTCAAACCACCTTTATGAGATGAGTTGCTGAATTCCTTCCTTTAGATAAAATAAAGATACTCACCCTACTTGGCAGGAAAAAAAAAAAAACTTAAGAAAAACATATCCATGTTTTCCTGTCTGCTCGTGAGGCCTAACAGATACCGAAACAAATAAATAGCAAATGCCTTCCAACAATGAAATGCAAAAAGCAGGCCAACGACACAACAGGATATTGTGTTCATACATTTGTATTCTCACAATCTTGATTTTAAGTTGCCACCAACAACACAAAGCATATTTTTCTGCTGGTAAAGTTGTTCCTTATTTGGTGGAAAAATATAACCAGTATTCATGGTGTTCCACAGAAGACACAGACTTCTGAATGTCACGTCACTTGAGCAAGTATGAGAACCACCATTCTAGGGGAACATGCCCTGTAAAACTTCCGTGACAGAGACGTCAAAAGAAAATACTGCCTTTAGGGAGAGATTAATCATTCAGTCCTGAATCGGTTAGAATCCTGGTTGTTGCAGAATCAGCCTGCTACCGGAAAACCTTCAGATTTCTGAGGCTGGCCCAGAGGTGGCTCGTAGGGGATCTTGGCTAGGGTGTCAGAGAAGCAGGGAACTTTTGATTAGTTCAGGGTTCAGGAGGGACAGGAGGGGAAATCAGATGACTGTTAGCCTCTAATAGTTAAAATCTAAGTTATCAAAATCATCTAACTTATAATCAGAGTTAACACCATAAGAGTACATGTTCCAGCCGGACTGCTATGAGAGGCTAGGGGTGAGGGGTAAGGGTGGGCATGGGGAAACAGGGCATAAGGATGAAGAGGTGAGAAAGAGGGAGAGGATGCAGTGGGGAGGGAGTGGAAAGAATGAGGCACCGACTACTCCGCTACTTTACACATACTTTGGGCTTATTATCCTTTACTTAGAGCCATCAGGCAAAGTCTCAACATGGATTATCCTTAACTACAAACAAGGTATAAGGGCATGCTTTATTTTCCATGATCAGTTCACATATGAAAGGTTCAATGTATGTGAATTACATTTTGCTAAATCACAGTCCCATTTTAATTGGCAAGCGTTGAGTGAAGCTGGTGAACCTCCATGATGAACAAACAATGATTCCCCGTAATCTATCCCATCTAGTCAGACTCACTGCCTGGCTTTCACGGCTCACTGCAGTCTTCCCACCCTTTACGTTGCTGATCTTATTTCCTCCTGTAGGGTCACCTCAGGCCTGTTAGTCTCCTTACCATCTGCTAGGCCAGACCCTTCCCAGCACGGTGCTCTTAGCCTGCCTGCTGTTCCCCTAACTGGGTGGTCTTCCTTCTCCTTGCCTAAACTCTAGGAATCCTTCTGCAAGGTCTCATTCAAGTCTTACCTCCTTTATGAGATTTTCTCCGGATATGCTAATGACAAGTATTATCAAGTTCTTACTATGTATTGGGACTTGATATTGTGCTAGCATTTGACATATATTGCTGCTAATTTTCAAACTACTCCCTTAGGTAAATATTACTGTCTCTTTACTCATTGAGATTAAATGACAGCCCAGGGATCCTACAACTACTATGTGACAGAGCTGGATTTTGAACCCAGGTCTGCCTGACTTTAAAGCCCAGGCCCGTCCCACCACACTGCCTCTTGTTCACATTCATCCTTTCTGAACGCTTTGTATCCACAGTTGTACCATATGGCTTTGCATCAGATTGTCTCTTTTGTATTCATTTTAACAGAGGAGATGGAATAACGCTCCTCGAAGATAAGGACTTACTTACCTTATCTCATTCTACAGTATTTCTCACCCTAGAGCTTAATACAGTGTCGAGCCTATAGAAGGTATTGAAATGTTGAAAAGAATTAGAAGATGATTTGTAATAGATCACTTCATCTTATTCTTTTTGAAAATTTGAAACTTTTACATTGCCCCAGTTAAAATTTACATTGCCTGCAGGTTAAAATTAGTTGTGTTTCCCTTTATTAATTTTTTAATTTGATATTCTCTTTGTTAGTAGCTAAATGTCATGGAAATAAAATCAATCTTCTTTATAGAGAGAGGGAAGAGAGAAAAAGAATAGGCAATCTCAGGTTATGATAAGAGGAAATTAAGAAGAGAAGATGATAAGAAAGTCTCAACCTCTCAATCACAAGTATAATGAAAGGGTCCATTTTTTAATCCCAAAGAAACTATTAGAAAAAGGGATTTGGGGTGAGCTTATTAAGGAAAAAAACTCATGAAGTTCACAGGTAAGGCTATGAGAAAATCAGGCTCTAAGGAAACAATAAGGGAAATGCCAAATCATTATTTTATAGGATATGCCTTCTATACCATTTTCTATGTTTTTAGCAACTCGTAATGTTATTTACTTACCTACTTATAAAATCAATCATGTATACGGTGATGAAGCTTTATCAGTGATCACTGCCCTCAAAAGCCAGGCTGGACGTACATACTCAGGGCTATCCAGTGGTCATCAAACTTACCCAAAGACAGACTGTACTATTAAAGAAGCACAGGGTGGGTGTACATGTTGTGGGGGGGATGCCGTTATCCAATATTACTGTGGCTAAAATATGGATTGTAAAATATGGATGCATCCTAAAATGATGGCAAGCTTCTATTCAACTGGTAGCACTTTTCTACTTTACCACTGAACATTTTGATGAAAATGTATTTCCGAGAATAACAATACACAACTACTGTTATGTCACCCCTTAATCATAGATTAGAAATATTAATCATGGATTAGAAATACGTTAATCCGAAGGACCACTCTTTATAATTTAAGTAGCCCAGGAAAAAAAAAGGTTTTACTGGTTACGATGTATATATGGTCCTGAAGGATCTAGGAGAATATATCTGAGGTCACTAAGTTTCAGTCCCAGCACCCCACCCCATGCCCTTACTCTTCTGAGAATACTTAAAGCTCAAAGGTCAGAAGCAGCAAGAAACATGAACAATCCCCAAACACAGGAATCCACTTCAAAGTTAATCAGAAGTTGGCTATATAAGTTTACCACCCCTTCCCCAAAATCGTAGGGACTATGGCTTACATCTTTTAGAATACCTAGTAAATGGTAAAAGGATGATTTACCATTCAAACCACCAGGGTGAAAGTTTTCTCTTTAAGTAATAACTAAAGTGTGAAGGATGTGATAGCTGCTGTGTATTAGCTGTGCATCAGCTTTGAAAGAAACACATAACAGCATAAGCCTGAAATTCCTTTCCAGCTCAACTCATTTTCTCCAGCTGTCTGTTTCCAAACAAAACAGTAGTACAGACTTTTAGGTATGACTCTAATATACCTGCCATAAGCTACAAGAAGGAGGCAGAGATTTTTTTCTGAAGACTTAAAAGTTCATCTCCCTCTCCATAGATATTAGACCACGTACTTACCATTGCAGTATTCATTCTGAATGACCATGTGGTCATCTTCGGCCCATGCAGAATAGTAACGTACCACATGGGGGTGATGCCCAAGCACCGCGTGAGCATAAACTTCATGCATAGCCAAATTCCTAAGAGACGGAAAAGCACTGAGAAAACTGAATCAAGATAATAGACATACAAAGGCTTTTAAAAGACAAGCTCTGAGGCATTACTAACAACGGCAGAACATTTACTGAGTGTTCACTGCTTGCTTACTATTTTATCATATTTAATGTTTGTAACGCCTCAGTATGATATAGTGGCAAGGATTAAGGCTTTAGAAAGTTAAGTGACTGACCCAAAGTCAAGCTGGTGATAGTAGATCTAAGACCAGAACCTTGGTTGTCCTGGACCAAAGTCCATGGTTTTTTGATTGAACATGACATATGTAGAGAGGAATCTTGGGTGGTTATTACCTCAGCAGCAGACCTGCTTTGATTCTTTTTTTTTTTAAATAAATAAATTTATTTATTTATTTATGGCTGTGTTGGGTCTTCATTGCTGTGCACGGGCTTTCTTTAGTTGTGGTGAGCAGGGGCTACTCTTTGTTGCAGTGAGCGGGCTTCTCATTGCCGTGGCTTCTCTTGTTGCGGAGCACGGGCTCTAGGTGCGCAGGCTTCAGTAGTTGTGACACGTGGGCTCAGTAGTTATGGCTTGTGGGCTCTAGAGCTCAGGCTCAGTAGTTGTGGTGCACGGGCTTAGTTGCTCCATGGCATGTGGGATCTTCCCAGGCCAGGGCTCGAACCCGTGTCCCTGCATTGGCAGGCGGATTCTTAACCACTGCGCCACCAGGGAAGCCCAGAGCTGCTTTGATTCTTATTTTCACTGTATCACAATCTAAAAACCCTGATGGGCTTAAGAAGAAATGGACTTGATGGTGGATATTGTGATGGGCCCTCTACCTTCCCTATGAAGGCTAAACAATCATTATAGTCAATATTAAACTCAGCCAGTATGATGTAGTCACAGGGGCAGTCTTGGGGGGCAGATATTCATTATGCAATAGGAAATCCAACACACAAAAAGCAAACTATAGTACTTGATCAATTTCATTATTCAAATGAAGAATTCCAAAGACTGATGTCAGATTCAGCATTTTAGTATTATATTCCCCAGAGTTCATAAAAAGCAGTGGCTGAATCTGAAAATATTTGTTTTCCTTGTGGAAAGGAAGAACTCTTGAACATTTAGTTCTGGGAATGAAATTTAAATTTTTGTTAGTTTTTCCTTGCTTACAAGGAAGGAAACTTTGAAACTTGACTATTGAATTTATTATTAATGCAAAGTAGAGATAACCAGTGAGTTAATAATAACTTGGTAATATTTCTGATGAACTAAACAGGCACCAGAAGATCATTCCATAAAGCTATTTGTTAAAAAAAAAAAAACAGTAAGATCAGTAGTAAAAGCCACAAGAAATATAAAAAAACAAAACAAAAACACAACATGATCCCAAATGCTCATGGTATATTTCAGGAAATAACTTATCTCTGATCTTGAAAATTCAGAAAGGTTATGAATGTTAGACAACTTTCAGTGGGTCGGGGGTGGGGGAGGTGATTAAAAAAATGTAGCAAATGACGTCAGTGCCCTGATTCAAAATGCTTTGACAAATCCAAGTGTGTATTTCTAGTACATTTAAAAGGTACTCACTCATCTGATGATCCTACCAAAGGTTTCGTGGAGCGTTTTATTGCATAAACACATCCATCCAGCCTCTTAATGCACTTGTAGACAGTACCAAATTCCCCAACCCCGATTTTTTCCACCTCCAAGAATTCTTTTTCATAGCGGGAAGCCATGTTGGTTTCTCGTAGAACACATCTCTGAAATATTTCAGTAAAAAAAATAATTCTCCCTAACATATTGTGAGAATAAAATTAAGGCATATTATTCCTAAACTTCTCTAAGTTTTCAAAAAGCCTTTTGAGGCAAATTCATCAATATTCTTGGTAGAAAACGCCTCTGCAACCCTGCCACAAATGCTGACTACCTTCTCTGTGTTCTTTATAACCTGTCATACAACTCTGTACTGACATTTCTCTTTGCTATATTATTACATCTTTTTCTGTATTATTTCCTCTGTCTGGCCATACTCTTCTTCCCTATATGTGCCTAGAGGGGACACCTCACTCACAGCCAGAGCTACTGTCCTTAGCTGAAGGAGCGGGTGGGCTCTTGGAGGAGGATGTTAAACAGAGAGAACACCTCTCTTTGACTCTTGTTTACTTGTCTCACAGTCTGGCTGCTGCTGTTTCATCTCAAGTTGAATAAACATACTGTGTTCAGTTTGCTTCCCAAAAAAATCTTAGTCTGGAGAACAAAATTGTCAAATTGATTATTTCAGAATGTGTGCTCAGATATAGCAACCACTCCCGCTACTGGCTAACTAGCGACATCACTCATTGCTCTGCTAGTAAATAACTCGAGCAATCACTGAACCCCTTTATCAGTTTTCTCATTTGTAAGATGAGGATCATAGCAGCTATGCATCAGGGTCCTGTCAAACATCACATGGGAATTATATATGTTACAAATATATATGTATATAAAATTCTCAGTAAATGGTGGTTATGATGACAAAAATATGCAGAGATTTATATGAATCTCAGTCCAAGCTGATTCGTCTCTGTGAACTCATCTTTTCCCCAATATCCTCCTTAGCAAGAATTTCTGCCATCCAACTTTAAGTGTTTAAAATATCTTGACTCTTACTAGCTCTTCATTTTCAACATGCAGTCCCAACCAGTCCTCATCAACAAGATCTATAATTTCCCTTGCCCTTAGCCAGTCTCAAGCTCTGTTTCCTCCAAGTCTGGATTTGCTACAGCTACCAGCCCTCTCTCCATCTCCTCTAATAGGAAGATTGCTTTTGCAAAATGATGCTGTAGAATCAGACAAACCTAATTGTTTCCCATGAGGCACCCACACTTTTTTTTTTTTACTATTTTATTTATTTATTTTTAACATCTTTATTGGAGTATAATTGCTTTACAATGGTGTGCTAGTTTCTGCTTTATAACAAAGTGAATCAGTTAGGAACCCACACTTCTGATCAGAGGCCTGAAGGCGCTGGTAGTGCTTACCTGCTACCTTACCAGCCTCATCTCAGACACCAAGTACCACCTTACCATCCATATCACTCCCTCCCCCTCCCCCTCCCCGACCCTCCCCCTCCCACTTACATGCACTGAACATTATAATATCATGAAAACATGCCTATGTTCAAGCACCTTAATGGTAATTTAATATTCCACTGACTTTAAACTATAATTTACTTGGCCATTCTTCTATTATTGGACATTCAGTACTCCCCTTTTTTTTTTTTTTTTTTGCTATTACAGTTAAGGCTGCAACAAACATCTCTGGTATTAATATTTACAGCATTATTTTCTTAGTTTATATTATCAAATGAGGGATACTAGATCAACATTATAAAAATCAATGGATACTGACACATTTAAGAGGTAAATTTTACGTCTAGACCTCTGGCTTTATGCCCTTTTTCTCTGTTTTGTCTTATTCATTTTTGGACCTTAAATATCTTGATTTCCCTTCACTTCTTCTGGCGTATATAATTTTTCCCCAGATCAAAGACAGTAGCAGTAGCCTTGAAGAATACTCCAAGGTAATGGTTCAGCAACAGATTTGTTAGACACTGTCTGCTAAGGTAACAACTAGCTAAGAATATAGACCCTGATAAGAGCCCAGATAAATTTAGCTGCAAAACATATTTACTACAAGGTATGTGGAGGGTTGGAGAGGAGAGAAGGGAGAAAGGAGGGAGGGAGGGAGAAAGAAGGAGACATTAGGATGAAATGACTGTGTTACGACGGCTGGACCAAAGAACTGTGCTCACCTTGGCAGGCAGCCCTTGTTCTACCTTGCCTTCTCCTGGACCAGCTTCCTCACTTGGAAAAAAAAAAGTGATATCAGAGTATGATTAGCACTTATTGAGCCTAGTACTATGCTAGGTTTGGGGGCTCTACAAGTAAATACGACAATTACTTCCCCTCTTCAATCTATATTTGGGCACAGGGATAAACAGAAATTTTCAATACAAGAACTTAGGACAGGATAAAAACAAGATATCGAGGGATACCATAGACAGCACCCAATTCATTATTTGAAGAGTAAAAGCCTTTCCCAAAAAAGAGGACATGTAAGGTAAGATTCCAAAAATGAGTAGGAACCAGCTAAGAGAAAAGAACAGGGTTTTAGGCAAATGGAACAAGGTATGCTGAGATGCGGATCAAGAGAGTGCACAGAACATACCTGAAACTCTAAGGGGTCTTCACCACCAGTATACGTTTGCCCTGCAACACCCGCCTCCCTTAGAACCCGGCCTGTCTTAGGGTCACAAGCCAACTGTAAGTATAGCAGAATGTGCTCTAATCCTGGCTAAGATGTTTTCAATTACTTTTCATTAAGCTGAAGTCTCTGACGGACACCCTCTTTGGCACGAGCAGATGCATCCTGGATCTTTAAGCAAAATTTCAGTTTCTAGATCAGCCAGCTAGGTTCTTCTTCTGGACGAGTACAGGGTAGAAGGGGCAAGTGGAGGACATTACACACGTGCAAATTAGGTGATGCAGGACACTTGTGACTTACATTTAATACTACATTCTAATACTTTATAAAATAATGCCACAGTGAAGAAGAGGGGAAAATACCCTCTCAGCATCACTAAGTTATTGTACTAAAATGTCATCACTTTCAGGGCCAGGAATTCAAATCAGCAGTCTTTTCCTGCTAGCTTCAGTGAGAGGTGAAGCCATTCACTCTGAAGGTTTACAAAGACCCTAAAGAGCTAAAAGCAGTGGACTAGTAACAAGAATAGACCAGTGTGCTTGTGCTGAAGTCCCGTTTACTTAAGATCCAGGAAATAGTATTGAGAAAAACCTATTCTGGCTACAAGGCTGATTAACATGTAGTCATGCATTCCGAAAGAACACAGCACATTAACTGTTCTACAGGCTTTTAGATTGTTAGCTGTGTGTTTATTCTGCTGAGTACATCTAAGCATAAATGACTGGCCTGTTTTAGAGGTGCTTCCAGTCTATAAAAAAGCAGCATTGAGGATACAGTAAAGAAATGTCCCTGAGTAATCTGCACTCTCCTTATTTAGGTGATTTCTACCATTCAGTGGCCTTTGTGGAACAGTGCAGCTGGCTTTCCATTTATTAGCACCTCCAAAAGCAGCACTCTCTTTTTCTCTTCAGCCAGCCTTCCATCACCTGCAGAGAAGTGCAAATCCTTGCTCTGTAGCTCTCGTCACCAGTCACACCACTAAACTCAAAACAGCAATATACTCTCTGGAATGAGAACTACACCTTCCCCAGCTGCTGGACTCTGTAGTAACCAGAGGGGAGCCCTTGAGGGCAGTTCCGTAGCCCATTCAACTTCCTAATATAAGACAGATCTATTGCTTACTCTGCCCTGTTCTTTCAAAGAGAAGGCATTTTACGGTGCACTTCAGAATCTCTGAACACAAAGAGATTTCTGTGACAAAGAAGGTTAAAGCCAGCACTGACATTTAGAAAGGAGGGAATATATAAACACGATGTCGACTCATTCAGACAGACTTCTTGTTTATTCCTAATGTTTAACACTCTCCCTTCCACTTGGCAATAGTAAGATCAGTTCTCAAAAGTCAAAGCAACAGGACACTTACAGGTCGCCTCGGGTTTTCCGCTTGCCATTGGATTTAAGGAATTGTTTCCTATAGGACTCCGGAGTGAAGGGATTAATATTGACCAGAGCCAGTGAGGTCATCGCATCGGTGAAGGGACCAGGTGTGAGCTTCAGATGCTTAGAGCTTCGGGAGGGGAGCTTCCCTGTTGAAGAGATCCCCGACTGGCTCACCTGGCCCTGAATGAGGATGATAAAAGGCAAATCAGAATGGAGGTAATTTTTAAAAAATGGTTCTGTATCAGTTAGTTAATTAATATTTGAACCAAAGAAAGTTATTGCTGAAAGATACCCCTTAGAGGGTATCTGGTTCACTGCAAACATTGTAACTGGCTCTCTTATGAAAAATACAGATTCCCAGTCTACCTCTAGATATTTTGATTCCTGGGATCAGCACAGCAATCTGTACTTCTGTTAAGCTCCACCCTCTTCCCCTGGGCGATTCTGATAGTCAGCTATGAGACCACCAATTCTAGTCCTACCTCCAGCTTTTTAAAGATGACCTTTCGGCTTAGACAAATGAAAATGACTCTAGAAGACCTGGTGCTTATGTTCTCAGACTGTATAGTTAATTTCCCCTCAATTATTCATCCCAATATTTGTTTGGTACCTACTAAGTAGCAGATGCTGGGTTAGGTGCTGAAGGGACCAGAGGTGAATTCTGGCTCTTAAGGAATGCACAGTCCATTCATCAGCAGTTCATTGATGTTTCAGAAATAATCACTTTGTAAGGTAAAGATTTCATAGACTATCTAAACATTGAAAAAGAAGTTTCCAAGTCCACTAAAAATGTAGCACAAATTGAGAAAAGTTCCAGGAAGTGGGGTAAGGAGACTGAAAAGTAATACTCTAAGCCCTTAAGATGCAAGGCTTTGCAGTGGCTACAGCTACCATACCAGTCAATAGGAAAATGTGCAGGGCTTACCCCTCCAAGTGGGGTACAGTAAGAGAACATCGGCCTAAAACCTAACCAGAACTAAATCAAACGACAGAGGGGAGAAATCAAAGACAAAGAATTCTGATGAGACGGCAGAATGCTATTATGATCTAAGTGCCAGGGGCCAGAGGAATAGCTGGTAATAGATCCTCAAGAGGACAGTAGTAGACACAGGGGCCATGATGTAACCTCATAGTGTCATCATTGTACTGTGAGGCTCTTTGGAGAAGAATTCTGTTTTGATATTCTCTGCATACGACTTTCGAGTGTAGAAGCAGAAGCTAGATTACAATATGATTCAGTATATAAAAATGTAATTGAAGAATGTGAGGCTACAAAGAATGGCTATTAAACTTACTAATGAATACTCATTATTAGATTAATGATAGAAGCAGAAATAAATACTCATTAAATGACTGATAGAAGCAGAAATGAAAGAAGCTATAGAGTACACATAGCAGCCTAACATTTTTTTAAGTGAAGAAAAATTGACACAGTCAAGAGTTTTGCCAAGGGTTTTACATATGTCTTAGAGTTCAGAGGGTCAACAGCCCTGGGGATATTATCAGACAAAGCCATCAATGACAAACAATTTTCCCATAAGTTTATTGTAAGGGTTGAGTATTGGTTCAAAAGAAATAAAACTATACTATATATTTCTCAGTTGTCAATGTGATTCAGGAAATGAAGTTAGAATTATAGTAAATCATTTTCTGAAACAGTTTTCTTGTGATGGTGATTATCATATGGAAAATAAAATGCATCTGTCACATATGAAACAGTGGGGCATCCACACCTGGTATGTTTCACATAGTTCCAGTTGCTACAGTTCAAGGACAACAAAAAGGCCTAGAAACTTTTCAGATAAAAGTAAGGAAAAGTATTCCTATCAAGGAAGACTATCAGAATTCCTAGTCTGGAAATATGAGGGCTGATAGATTTTGTGAACTCCACTTACAATATAGCAAATGATATTATGTTAATATGCATTTTATTGCCAAAATGATAGAATTATGAGTAATCCTTTTGAAATCTAAAAGAACACAGCTTGCAACAAGATGTATGAAAGTGAGTTCTGCCTAGAAGTAAAGTAGACTGAAAATTTCTGGAAAGATGACCAGGTTGAGAGTATAAACGTGTTGCAGAGAGTGTAGCTACTTCTGTATAAGTAACAGCTCTTACTACAGACAATTAACAGAAAGGAAATTTGGGGAATAGCTCCTTGACTTCTGAAGATGGTGAGAGGAAAGGGAGGCAACCTCCCACCAAGACACAACATCACAGGGACTGGGAAAGTCTTTAAAGGCCCAGTTGGTACAATTAGTTCCCTGATGCTTGAATCCCTGGTACAGTGTTTTTCTACCAAGTGGTCATCAAAGAGCGTTGAATGCATTTAGCCACAGGGACCTTACTATACCTCCTAAGGAAGCTCTGCTATCTCTAGATAATTGCGCTAGGAAGTCCTTATGGGGACCTGAAGTCGTTTCCCATGATTTCTGGTCCTATCCCCTGAGCAAGGCTGAACTAAGCCAAGCCTCCTTTCCTCTGCATCCCTGTCTTTAGCACAACATTACGAATTATCATCCCCCTGGCCTCTCTCCTCTGACCTTGATCCAAACTATATTTTTTGTAAAGTGTGTACTTTCCCAGGTGCATTTCGAGTTTCCCTCCCAAATGTTGTTTTCTTTCTGTCCCTCAAATCTTGGCATCTCTAGGGTCCCCAGCTTGGACCACTCCTCTTCTTACTCTGGCACACAGACTGTGTAAACTTATACACACCCATGGCTTCAACAACTTCCTAAATGCTGATGATATCCAAATACAGATCTCCAACTTAGGTGGTTTTCCTGCATTGCAGAACCACTTATCCAACGATTTACACCACATCTCTTTCTCCAAACCTGTACATCCTCTAAGGTCACCTACCTTGATTCAAGGTACCATCTACTCTGTCAAACAAGCAGGAAGCCTCACAACACCCTAGGTCCCTGCTTTTCCCTCAACCCCTCCATCAAGTCAGTTAGCCATTCCTAAGCATCTCTCAACTCATCACTGTCTACCACTATCCAAGTTCAGGCCCTTCTTTTTTCTCAGTAGATCTATTATGAATACTGCCCTGCCCCCATGGTCTCTCCCACTCCATTCCATCCCTCACATGAAGGTCATGATTTTTCAAAACTGCCTCTGACCAAAACCATTTAATGGCTCTCTCAACACTTTCAGGATAAAATCTCAGTGTAGCTGCTACCTACCTACTCTGGCCTCACTGCCAGACCCCTGCCACTCTGAATAACAAGCGGTTTTCCAGGTGTAGCGTGATCTTTCCCCTCCATAGCTTGGTAGATGCTTTTCCCTCAGCCTCGAGCTCTCACTCCCTTCTTTTCCTAGCAAACTGCGAATCATCCTGTAAGACTGCTCTCAAACATTACTTTCTCTGGAAAGGTGTCCTGGATATCTCGAAACTTAATTCCCCACTATTTCTCATCATGCTCTACAAGTCCTCTAGCACACCTGATCTGAACTTTATTTACCACTGTTGTTTACCTTTATTCATTCTGTAGGCACTTTTTGAGGTAGTGAAGGGTTTGCCAGCAGAAGGTCTGCTAGCATATCAAGGTGTTCAATTAAGTTTTCAATGAGTGGATGAAATACACATACCGTGCCACGTCTCCTCCTGCTTACGCTTGCTCTGAATTACATGCTCCTAGCCCACTCTCCCCATAATTTCCATGTATTAAAACCATACCAACTTTCATTGCCCTTCATATGCTTCCTTCACCTTCATTTCTTTCCTGACTACCCACTGAGAAGCAGTCCACCCAGAGAACTCTGACCACTCTTGAATCACCTCTCACATAGTATCCGTAGGCACATCTCCCCTGCCAGAGACTGCCTCGCGCTCCCAGCCCACAGTGGGTTCTCAGAAAATAAATGGTTAATTGATTGGTTACTGGGACCATTGAAAAACCCACAGGCAGACGCACGAGCGTATTAAAGTAGTTTGTCTACCATTCAAACAAGAAGCTTAGTATTTCCTGGTAGTTGTGGTACCCATACTCAGCAGGTACAAAAGAGACCTGCTGACAGTGACTGTGCTGCCGTCAGTAGCACAGATGTTATTATGATGATTTAAGCACCTCAAGCTGAGGCCGCGGGAAGCAGAGCTGATTCCAGGCCTAAGGCTCACATGCCACGGCACCAGTCTATTAGAGGTAACCCTGCCCCAGTCCCGGCTTTAATAACATGAATGATATAATAGGAGCTCAATCACAGCAAGGATAAAGGAACCTGCTTACTTGGGACCTTTACCTATTTGCCATCCTCAGCTTATAAAGGAGTATCAACAAGTTACCTCTGTGTTCACATATGAGAGCCTGTACCTCACTAGACCAAGGAAGGGAGAGGACTTCTTTCTGGAAAGAGCAGCAGCAAAGAGACAAAAAATATGTTAAATAGTGAATGTGAACATTCTTATATTAGGAAATATTAGTAAATAATCACAGAAGAATAGAGCCAGTTGGCGTAATGGCAAGAACAGTAGACCAAGCCCCAAAGACCATGTTTCTCAGTCCTTTCTCTGCCGTTGCCTGAGCTACAGGCCACTTTCTCTCCTGAGACCTTGGTTTTCTCACAGGCAGAGTACAGGTCAGGCTGTAGATCTCAGTATTTTTTCCAGTTCCAATATTCTTTCACTAGGAACTTTTTCCCCACCCAAGATTTATCTGTGGCCTACACCAATGGTTTTAAGAAGACAGCTGGCAAGACGCTTAATTCTGTTTTCTGGTAACTCTAAACTCTTCTTCATGTTCACCAGGAAATACGTAACTGAAGATAGATACAGCCTGTGAAACAGATCCGTCACACATACATAGGACTGGGCCCTCGTTCTCCGTCCGCCGAAGGAACACAGACCTCAGCGGCCTGGCTCCCTCCTCCCCAGCGATGGACTTACTTTGGGAGTGAAGGGGCTCTCGCAGCGTGGCGGCTTGCCCTTGTCTGGCGGGGCTGGGGTTTCAGGACGTGTGAGAGAGTGTGACACTGGAGTTCTCAGACCCTGACCTGGACTCGCTTGGCCTTTTTCCTGAAATGTGTTGAGGTCACGTACGTCACTAAGGGGAGTCCTGACAGGTGTAAGCTCTGCCGCCTGAACAGATCCTGAATCCTGAGCTCCAGGCTTCTCTGGGGTTTGGCTCTGGGGCTCCTTGCTCTCTTGTGTTTCCTTTTGCCCTTCGTTCTCATGCTCTTCCTCACAAGAGGAAAAGTTTAATTTCTGCTTCAGTTCTTTGTCCTCATCGTTGTCACCCATCTCAGCCAAAGAGCTTTACAACCTAGGCAAGGAGACCTCTCAGCAGGAAACACTACAGAGCTGCAGAAATAAAGAGGAGAAAAAGTAACCTGGCAAGTTCCCTGACTCTAGCCCGGCTTCCCTTCTGCCAACTAACAGCTACATGGAGACACACCCTTGGTTTTAGTCACTTAAGTACCACGTATCTGTGTGATCTCAGCTTCTCCTTATTTCCATTCTGATTAAAGAAGGCTCCAGTAACTCTTTGAGCAATTAAATCCAATTATGTATAGAACGCTTCTGGATATCCCACAGTCTCCCTGAACCCATGTGCAACAAACTACTAGGGAAACAGTTGGATTCTTTAATTTAGCATGGCTTTAAAAATACATATTCGCCAACTGGGAATGAGCTCGTTATTGGAAAGAAATTCTTTTCACTCTTTTACACCTACCATTTAGAAATATCACCCTCTCCTCTCCCCCAGTTCCCACCTACCCAGTGGCTAGCAGTAGTTCCTTAGAATTCAGTATCACCTGGATATCATAATGATCCTTAAACAGCCGCTAACATATCTTGGCGGGAGTTCATCTCCCTAATAGAGACACACCTGAGATCTCTGCCAGATACACCTGTCCTAATTCAGGCACCTCCACACCCTCCGCCCACCCCCAGGTATTAGCAGTTAAAGCTTTTAGGGAACCGGACACATTTTCCCACTGAAAAAAAGAAAGGTAGAAAGGTCAGCAAACAGAGAAGCAGATATATGTATCACTTGAAAATAGCAATTACTTGGGCCCCAGACACCTTATTTTGTAAAATATGTTTTCTTACTGTTTAGATATCTTTAACATATATTAGTCAATTTCTTTCTCAGAGAGGCCCCTATGGAGAGGGGGAAAAAAAAGCTCTTTGAAGAAAAAAAAAGGCCACCAATATCACTTTGTAGGAGAAACCATGTGAAAGGCACTACGTGAAAAAGGAAAATGACGTACATGAGCCCCCAGTGCCCTCAGGGGAGACTCTGGAGGGACTGGACATGAGGAATTATTTACACAACAAACGTGGACCCAAAGAGAGGTGCTGAGGATGAGTTTGGTCTTGACTGAAACCAATTCAATGTCCTTTCTCACGATCGTCTTTGGTTACTCATTGCCTGTCACCCATCTTTCACCTTCTGTCTCTTCACCAATCCCTCCGCCCCTTTCTTTTTTCTCCCTCCTTTCCCATTTCCCCCCTGAACTCATGAGGAGGTTAATCCAAGTGGAGAGTAACTGGGGTGGGGGTGATTGTGAAAGTGTTTCTGCAGCTAAACGCCTTCTCATGCCCCAGCTTTTTGTAGGTGCGCACACCACCCAATCATTCCTTTGTCCTTCCCCAGTCCCTCTGGCCACGCAAACTTTCCTAATCACTCAACAGGGTAGCTCACTGCTCACCTTTGTCAGACACTTGGCATCCCACAGGGGCCAAGGAAAATAGAGTCATCCACAGGGAGGGGAGGCCAGTAAAGAAATTCCTATTAACTGAGATTCCGGGCTTCGGAGTGAGTTTCTTGTTTACAAACCAGCGGGCCATGTGATATAATTCCTTCACTACAGCCTTGGTGCTGATCAGTTTTCCCCTCTCAAGGCTGTGGCTAGTCACCTCTCCAGGCCAGCTAGAGGCTTGCTCTGCTCTCAGGCAGGATGGGACCAACCTGAAACCCTCTGACTGTATCACGGGCCTGCAGCCAGGGCACAGGGGCTGGTGTATTGGGTGTTATCCAGTAGGCCAGGTTGGTTTTTATCATCACCCCTGCCTTTCCTCTCTGCCTTGCTAGAATTCTCAATTCCCTTTACTTATGACTGCACTGTTTGCCTAGGGAGGCAACTATGCCACCGTGATGACCAATGGTATATAACTTGTACCATTCACCATCCATATATTATCACTCAGCAGATGATTGCGGCTAAGGCTTCAGAATAAGAAAGATATAATAACAAGTACGATAAGAATATTCCTGATTTGGAAAATAGAACAATGAGAATTGGGCAGTTGCCGACCTTGATGGCCCAAGGGAATCCCTGGAGGTGCACATCTGGCCTCTGGCATGCAGCCCCACTATTTCTGGTGTCATGCTTTACTCTTTTCTCTGTCCTTAGCCTCTTCACATTGTGAAAAATCCCGTCTTTGCTCCAGTGCATGTTAATACCACAGGCATCCATCCCAGGCACAAAGCTTAGCATCATAGTTGAGATGAAGTGTCAAAAGGGGAACCCAAATAGCCTGTGGCAATAAGAGGAAAAGAAGGGAGGATTTTTCCCTTAATGTGGAACACATGTGGGTGTTCCATAAACTACTTTTGAATGGACTTGGGAAGGTAAAATTAACGTATCTCATTTTGTTTAAAATACTCAGTATTTGACTTTTTTGAAGGTGGAATGTTGTTCACATTGTTATAGGGATTTCTGCACAGCAGGAAGGTAATGTTCCCAGGAGTAAGAGGCACAAGGAGGAGGTCAGCTTTGCATCTTAGGGCTGGGTTCCCCAAACCGTATGCTTGGGGGAAACTCTCTTTCTGCAGACACTGCTGAGTGATGAGAAAGCTCCTAGACTCAGAGCTCCGCTCTGACCAAACCTCAGTTCTGAGGCCTCTGAGACACTGATGGGAAGGACAGAAGCAGGGAAATCCAGCTAATTCAAATCGGATTCACAGGAGGTAGAAACTTGTATTCACCTTCGAGGTAGACTGTTCCTTTGCAAAAGTAAAGCTAAGGCCGTGGAAAATGAGATATTTGAGGGTCTGTTGCTCCGAGGAGGGACATGCTAGCCTGATTGTCTCCTCAGTTAGGAGGGAGAAATGTAAAAAATGCTTGAACAAGCCAAAGTGAAGCTCTACCACATTATTTACTGAAGACTGAATTAAGACTGATTCATTCCAGACTCTGAAAAAATACCGATGCTGGATTATGATGTATTTGATGGGACTGCCCCACTGGGAACCATTGGGAGGTCTGGTTTCCCTGATAAGAATTGGACATTTTTACTGCCAGGCTTAATGGGAAGCTGGCAGATTCCAGGACAGGAAGTGAAGACTTGAAGCAGGCTTAAGCAGAAAGCAACTCTCTGGGCTTTGGACTGTTGGGCCTAGAATCTGAAGACCAGAGACACACTTGAGGGAACTCCAAGGTGGTGGAGGAGAGAAGTTGACTTTTATCCCCAGAACGTGCCCTGTAGAGGCAACAGTGCAGCATCAGTGCTCTCAGGAGGGCCCATGGACCTCAACAACATATGGAGGAATAATCTCGAGCTCACTGAGGAAAGGGACGAGTAGGCAGTGGTATCTTCAGGCCCCTCCTACTTCAACCCCATTGTCTTCCTTGCCCTTATCTTGCAATGTTTGCAATACCTTAGAAAAAAGCAGAATATGTTCATCACCGACGTGTACTGTTCAGCTCCCTGGACAGACCCATCAGCAGCAGTGACGGTGAGCACGTGCTGGGCCTGGACCCGTCCCATCAAGGGTCGCAGGTGCTCCTGACTCCTAGCAGCTATCTTCCCATGACAAGGGTGGTCAGCAAAGCCAGGAACCGTGAAGGGGACCTTCTCTTGATCTCCTTCCCACACCAAGAGAGAGTGCACAGAAGCAGCGGCTGTCAGTCGCGGTCAGTCTAGTGATAATTACAACAATCATTAACAATATTCACCAGCGGTACTTATATTTGGCCACCACATTTCTTCTTTTGAAGTCCTTGCACATCTATGTCTAATGAGTAGCATTCCCAGCAGAACAGAATTCCAAGGAAAGACTGTGGGCCGGGTAAGATAAAGCCTGGAAGTCATCTTAAAGCTTATGAGTCTATCATGAATACTTTTCTTCTTGTTGTTTTGCTTTTTCTTGTGGAAATGTTCAAACACACCAGAAGTAGAGGAAATATAGTATAATGAGTCCTGATGTACCAATAACCTAGCTTCAAAAATTGGGGGCAGTTTTACAGTCTTGTTTCGTTTACATCTGCAGCTTCCGTGGGGGTGGGTGCTGGAGTATTTTAGAGCAGATCACTGATAACATGTCCTTTCACCCATGAATACTTCGGTGCCGTTAGTAAAAATCCTTAGATTAATCTATTTATTTGAAATCTACTATATAACTATGTAATGAGTAATCAGATTCTAATGAATTGCTTCTCTTGCCAGAGTTTTCCATTTGCTAGAACTAGAGGATAGTCATCAAAATAGCTGTTATAACAGAGATATACTACTTGTCCACTCACAAGACAGTATTCTTCTTAGAACAGGTACAGAGTTCTAACCTCATATCCCAATAATTTAGAGATGGTTGATGTACGGCCCACACTTTAAGGAGCAGATAGTTTAAAATGATATAGATTCATTAGTCTGATCTTTTCTCTATGGGCCACAGTTAGGAGAATTTAAGTGGCATTTGACCATTCCCAGGTTCTCTAAAATTAGAGCAGGTAGTAGTTGCCTATGTGACTGAGTCCAAAGCCAGCCTTGCAGCCACAGAGGCGAGATCTCTGTCTCCTCTGTCTCTCTCTCTTTCACACACACACAACATACACAACACTCGCGCGCACACACACACACACACACACACTCACTGCTTTAATGGGAAGAATTTAGCAGGGATGGAGAAGACATTCTCAGAGCTGGACCTACTGTACCTCAATCTTGACTCATTCTCTGTCTCTGCTCTGAGGGGTGGGACTCAAGAAGTCCCAAGGAATTGGTCAAACATTCTCAGTCATTTCTTCACACTTCTGACCCAATTACAAGATCCCTACACTGAAGTTTTGCCTTCATAAAACTAAGCAAGGAGAGGTTTTAATGATTTTTTTGAAGCGTGATTAGGAATTAAAGCTCTTCCACAGGAGGTGACCAGCAGAAACTAAAGACAGAAACTTAAAATATTAGTCTCTCAGAAGAGTGTGTGGGTACGGGGAACTGGGGGAGAAGGAGATTGCTACTCATTATACGTCCTGCATGCAATTTGATTATTTAATCTTTGCCATGTATATATATGCCAAATATATATATATATATATATATATATATATATATATATATATATATAAACCTGTCCAGAATGTGCTTGAATCACTTTGCTCACTCCTCTTCATCTCCTGACCTCTGAACCCTGGAGGTCCCTGAGCTCAGTCCCCCAAACTTTTCTCTGTGTACACTCAATGCCTTGGAACATCATCCAGCCCATAGCTTTAAACCCCATCTGTAAGCTGGTGACCCTTGAATTGATATCTGCATCACATACCTCTCTGTTGAACTTCAGACCTGCAGCTACCTAATCGAATCTCCCTCTGGTTGTCTAAAAGGCATCTCAATCTCAACACGCCCGAAAACAAACTCCTGATCTTTCCTACCAAACCTATTCCTCCCGCAAGTTTTTCATGTCCCAGTAAATGGAAACATACCAAAAATCTGCGAGTGATCGTTGACTACTCTCTTTCTCTGCAGCTGTGCATCCAATCTATGAGAAATTCTTTCAGTTCTCTCAGCCTCCTCCTACTGGCATCCCCTGCTTTCCCCCGGCCCCTCTCCACCCAGCAGCCAAAGGGATCCTTCTAAAAGGATCCTGCACTCACATCTTCCAGGGACTCCCATTTCACTCAGAATACGGAGCCAGCTCCTCTACAAGGCCCCCCAGGGCCATAGGATCCACCCAACAACCTGTCTGATTCCTGCTACC